GAGGAGGAGGAGGAGGAGGGGGAGGAGGAGGAGGGGAGGAGGAGGAGGGGGAGGAGGGGGGGAGGAGGAAGAGGAGGAGGGGGAGGAGGAAGAGGAGGAGGAAGAGGAGGAGGAGGAGGAGGAGGAGGAGGAGAAGGGGGAGGAGGAGGAGGGGAGGAGGAGGAAGGGGGAGGAGGAGGAAGAGGAGGAGAGAGGAGAGGAGGGGGAGGAGGAGAGGAGGAGGAAGAGGAGGAGGAGGAGGAGGAGAAGGGGGAGGAGGAGGGGGGGAGGAGGAGGAGGAGGAGGAGGAGGAGGAGGAGGAGGAGGAGAAGGGGGGAGGAGGGGGAGGAGGAGGAGGATGGAGGAGGAGGAGGTGGAGGAGGAGGAGGGGGAGGTGGAAGAGGAGGAAAGAGGAGGAGGAGGAGGTGGAGGAGGTTGAGGAGGAGGAGGAGGATGTGGTGGAGGTGGGAGGAGGACGAGGAGGAGAGAAGAGGAGGAGGAGGAGAAGTGGGTCTGGGCTTTGAGACGGGTTTTGAGAATGTCGTCAGTGAGGCTATAGACCAGGACTGAGGCTGTAGACCCAGGACTGAGGCTGTAGACCCAGGAACTGAGGCTGTAGACCAGGACTGAGGCTATAGACCCAGGACTGAGGCTATAGACCCAGGACTGAGGCTATAGACCCAGGACTGAGGCTATAGACCCAGGACTGAGGCTATAGACCCAGGACTGAGGCTGTAGACCCAGGACTGAGGCTATAGACCCAGGACTGAGGCTGTAGACCCAGGACTGAGGCTGTAGACCCAGGACTGAGGCTATAGACCCAGGACTGAGGCTATAGACCCAGGACTGAGGCTGTAGACCCAGGACTGAGGCTATAGACATGAAGCTCAAGCGGATGTTCAGACTGAAAGACCGAGTGCCTGCCAATCTCACAGCACTGCCAGCCTCGAGCCTCAGCCAATCAAACAGCTCTGCCAGCCTCGAGCCTCAGCCAATCACACAGCCCGGCCAGCCCCCTGCCAACACCCTGGCACCAAGCGGGCAGTTTAAAAGACAGCCACTTCCTGACAAACAGCGCTTCCTGAAAGCTCTAAACACCCGCCACCTCCCCAGCAACCCCCTCGGCTCCTGCTTTGGCTCTGGCTCTGGCTCCGGTTCTGGCCCTGGCTTCTGTTCCGGCTCTGCTCCACCTACGCCCCATTTTTTACACCATGCTTCTAGCCACCACCAGTGATTGACCCCGGGGGATCTGAGATCATCTCAGCTGCAATCGATCTCATAGCTGCAAGTGTCACTGCCGGGGTCAATGCGCCAAACAAATAAATCATTTTAAATGTATTTATCGTGTCTTTGGTCTCTTCAGATTGAACCAGGACTGAGGCTATAGACCCAGGACTGAGGCTATAGACCCAGGACTGAGGCTGTAGACCCAGGACTGAGGCTGTAGACCCAGGACTGAGGCTGTAGACCCAGGACTGAGGCTATAGACCCAGGACTGAGGCTATAGACCCAGGACTGAGGCTGTAGACCCAGGACTGAGGCTATAGACCCAGGACTGAGGCTGTAGACCCAGGACTGAGGCTGTAGACCCAGGACTGAGACTGTAGACCCAGGACTGAGGCTGTAGACCCAGGACTGAGGCTGTAGACCCAGGACTGAGGCTGTAGACCCAGGACTGAGGCTGTAGACCCAGGACTGAGGCTGTAGACCCAGGACTGAGGCTGTAGACCCAGGACTGAGGCTATAGACCCAGGACTGAGGCTATAGACCCAGGACTGAGGCTATAGACCCAGGACTGAGGCTGTAGACCCAGGACTGAGGCTGTAGACCCAGGACTGAGGCTATAGACCCAGGACTGAGGCTATAGACCCAGGACTGAGGCTGTAGACCCAGGACTGAGGCTGTAGACCCAGGACTGAGGCTGTAGACCCAGGACTGAGGCTGTAGACCCAGGACTGAGGCTGTAGACCCAGGACTGAGGCTGTAGACCCAGGACTGAGGCCGTAGACCCAGGACTGAGGCTGTAGACCCTGTAGACCCAGGATCTATATGAAGTACAGTGGATTTACCATTTGTATTTCTGTAACATATAAAGTGAGCGAAATGAACCATATCCACCTCAGACCTCAGTGATGATGGTTCTGAGCCTGGTCTGGTCCGGTCTGGTCTGGTCCACAGTGTGGTCCCTGTGAGTCTGACAGAGGAACACTTGACTTTCTGGGGGGGTCAGTCCCATCCTCTGTTCATCAGCTGCAAGATCCCTTGTTTTCATTTTAGCTCAAGTTTCCAATTTGCAAATGGAAGTGACTCACTCTGGTCCCAGTCAGAGGAGGACCAGAAAGAGAGACCAGAGAGAGACCAGAGAGAGACCCGAGAGAGAGACCAGAGAGAGAGAGACCAGAGAGAGACCCGAGAGAGAGACAAGAGAGAGACCTGAGAGACCCGAGAGAGAGACAAGAGAGAGACCTGAGAGACCCGAGAGAGAACCCAGAGAGAGACAAGAGAGAGACCCGAGAGAGAGACCAGAGATATACTAGAGAGAGAGACCTGAGAGAGGGACCAGAGGGAGACAAGAGAAAGAGACTAGAGAGAGACCTGAGAGAGAGACAAGAGAGAGAGACTAGAGAGAGACTAGAGAGAGACCAGAGAGACCAGAGAGAGATCAGAGAGAGACCAGAGTGAGACCAGAGTGAGACCAGAGTGAGACCAGAGTGAGGCCTGATACATGGTCGCGTTTCTGGAGAAGTGGAGCAGAACTGCAGTAAATAATGCCTGCACTGCTGTGGGTGCTCCTGTTGCCATAGAAACCGTGAATAAAATAAATCTACAGTTGAGGAGGAGCGGCGGCACCTTCTGTGTCCTGTCAGAATGCTGAGGCATTACCTGGCCATGACCTCGTCATTCAGGTTGGGTGGGCTTCAGGTCGCATTCCACGCGTGGGATGGCGGCCTCTACGGCCCTTCTCAGGGGGGCGTCGGTCGAGGACGTCTGCCGTGCGGCTTCTTGGGCGTCGTCCTCCTCTTTCGTCCGGACTTATCTTTTGGATGTGTCGGACCGGTCGGTGGCCCATTCCGTGCAGCGGAGTGAGTTAGACCGTTAGGTCCCTCTTCTGAGGGGGCCTTCGGTTTATTTCCGCCCTGGTTCAGGAGCTCTTGGGAGAGGCGTCCTACAGGTGCGGTACTTATATGTGTGTTGATCGGTCTGGTAGTCTACATCAGGAGCTCTTGGGAGAGGCGTCCTGTGACTATGGATGACATACGGTCTGTGTTACGTGGGGGTATCCTTGGTAGGAGTGGCCCTGTAACACGCTTGTTTCTTCTGCCCTGAGTCCTCTCACGGTGTGAGGGTCTTGCTCGGGCGGAGCTCCAATCACCCTTCGCTGGCCTGCTGGGAGTACATGTTCCTACGGCCTCCGCGTTGTGTCCCACCAGCGAAGTCCTAAGGGACGTAGCACCATGACGTAGAATTAATAGTTATCTAATGTAACTTAAGTTCTACGAATAGGTGCGTAGTCCCTTAGCTACAAGCCCATCAGGCCAGCCCGGCTTGGCAGAGTTCAAGAGGGAGTGCGGCCTTGTGCAGGGGCATTTATAGAGGAGGGTGGCTGGTGATTGGAGCAAATTATTTTGATCTCTCTGGCGTGTGACCTGGGGGTCACGAGTGATATCCCACTAGCGAAGTCCTAAGGGACTACGCACCTATTCGTAGAACTTAAGTTACATTAGGTAACTATTAATTTTCCTTTATTTCTGATTTGAATGTTTTAAGAAAGAGAGCTGTGTTTAAAGACTCACGAGGGACTGTGACGCTGAAGCGCTGAGGGTCAGAGATCAAGAGCTTCATCTTCAGAGAATTCATCCCGACTCCAGGGGGACCTACACACACACACACGCACACGCAGACATGGACACACACACGCAGACATGGACACACACACACACACGCAGACATGGACACACACAAACACACACACACGCAGACATGGACACACACACAAACACACACACACACGCACACGCAGACATGGACACACACACGCAGACATGGACACACACACACACACGCAGACATGGACACACACACGCAGACATGGACACACACACACACACTCAGACATGGACACACACACGCAGACATGGACACACACACACACACGCAGACATGGACACACACAAACACACACGCAGACATGGACACAAACACACACACACGCAGACATGGACACACACACACACACACGCAGAGACACACGCAGACACACAGAAAGAAAGAGACACACACACATTTTTTATGCATATTGTGTCATTGTTGTTTCGACTATTCCACAGGACTATGAATAATATACTAAAAGCAAAAGATAATATAGATAATATATATGATAGTTATTGATGGATAACTATTGGATCCTGGCTCATGACGCAGGGCCCTGATTGGCTGTGACATGACTCCAGGATAAACAACACACTCCTTACTCAGGACGAAGCCTGTATCGCTAACCAGAGCTAAACAACTCCTGTGTTTCTCCTGACCCTCAGACTCCAACACATGCCTCCGTCATTAGGCCCCTGTCGACCCACGTCTGGAACCCAACTCAGAAAAATGTGAATCTTTGCCGCGTTCTAATCAATCCACCACAGTTTACAGTCGAGTTAGCGTAGCCGTAAGAGCGCTGGCAGCTAGCGACAGGCCCGGCGCAGGATCGATGAGGCCTTTTTCCACTGGGCTCATGTCTCTGCATCTGGATTGATCATCAGCGTCTGCACGTGGAGCTCCGAGCAGCCGTCTTCAGATTCTATTAAGACTGTTCTCGTTGGGAACACACCGACATGTCAGTCTGCTCCACTTTGACTCAAACTGGGGCTGTGTGTGCGCCAGATCTGGGGCGCGCCTTAGGGACGGCAGCAGGCTAATGTGGCTAATGAAGCTAATGTGGCTAATGTTGCTAATGAAGCTAATGGGGCTAATGTTGCTATATAAGGCTACAGGATGGGATATATACAGTAGAACCCAGAAGTCTTTGGCAGTGCGTCCATAGACTGTTTGTTAGTACGGTCTCTCTCCCTCTCTGGTCTCGCTCTACAACTTCAGGCCTGGGTCTACAGGCACAGTCCTGGGTCTACAGCCTCCGTCCTGGGTCTACAGCCTCAGTCCTGGGTCTACAGCCTCCGTCCTGGGTCTACAGCCTCCGTCCTGGGTCTACAGCCTCAGTCCTGGGTCTACAGCCTCAGTCCTGGGTCTACAGCCTCAGTCCTGGGTCTACAGCCTCAGTCCTGGGTTGAATCCCAGTCCAGAGCATAAACACTGGACTGGGATTCCACTCGTGCCGATCGCTCCGGTCTCTCACATCAAACTGTTGGAGAGTCAACAGATGTGTTCAGCAGGCCACCAGACCATGGGATCAGTCAGAGCAGGGGGGAGAGGGGGGAGAGGGGAGAGAGGGGAGAGAGAGGAGAGAGAGGAGAGAGAGAGGAGAGAGAGAGGAGAGAGAGGGGAGAGAGGGGAGAGAGGGGAGAGAGGGGAGAGAGGGGAGAGGGGAGACTGGTGATTGTCTCCACATTTCCTCACTGCTCTGTCCAGGGAGCAGTGGCTACAGATGGACATTTGACCCTAATTTGTAAAAACGTCGCGGTGACATGGAACAGGCCTCAGAAAAGCAGAGACTTCCAGAGAATTCTCACTTCTTGTTGTACTTTTTGATTTCAGTTTGTTCTAATCCTGTATTTTCTTGCTTCTGGCCTCAGTCCTGGGTCTTTTCCCTTCACACCGAGCTCTGCCAGCGTCACTGTGCGGACTCTGACCCATCAGCCTGAATTATTTCTCTGTAAAAATTCATATTGAAACAAGAACAGAAAATAGAACAGTGATCTATGTGTGGTATAGTATAATAATACCCCACAGGTCTCCCACAGGTCTCCCACAGGTCTCCCCCTCCTCCTCCTCCCCCCCTCTCCACACCAGCAGAGGACCAGCAGAGCACCAGTGGAGACACACATCAGTCTCTGCTCTGAAAGGACTTTTTCTGTCAGTGTTCGGTTCAAGCGTTGGATTTATGAAGACCCGGGACACACAGGAATGCTGCTGTTGGCTGAAGCACTGGGGTCTGAGGAGGTTTTATATCAGGACTATGGCACAGGCACCAGTCCAGGACCAGACTCTCATTCTGGTCTCTCTCTCTGGTCTCTCTCTGGTCTCTCTCTCTGGTCTCTCTCTGGTCTCTCTCTGGTCTCTCTCTCTGGTCTCTCTCTCTGGTCTCTCTCTCTGGTCTCTCTCTCTGGTCTCTCTCTCTGGTCTCTCTCTGGTCTCTCTCTCTGGTCTCTCTCTCTGGTCTCTCTCTCTGGTCTCTCTCTCTAGTCTCTCTCTCTGGTCTCTCTCTCTGGTCTCTCTCTGGTCTCTCTCTCTGGTCTCTCTCTCTGGTCTCTCTCTCTGGTCTCTCTCTCTGGTCTCTCTCTCTGGTCTCTCTCTCTGGTCTCTCTCTCTGGTCTCTCTCTGATCTGTGCCCTGGTAGAGTGAGTGTTCAGGGTCCTTAACGCAAAGCTCCTCTGGGTCTTGTAAAAACACATTCTCACCTTATATGGGGCCCATGGTCTCAGTGAGGCCTCACATGGTTAATGAAGACTGAATTATACTATTTACTTCTGATCTGAAGCCTCAGTCCTGGGTCTACAGCCTCATTCCTGGGTCTACAGCCTCAGACCTGGTCTACAGCCTCAGTCCTGGGTCTACAGCCTCAGTCCTGAGTCTACAGCCTCAGTCCTGGGTCTACAGCCTCAGTCCTGGGTCTACAGCCTCAGTCCTGGGTCTACAGCCTCAGTCCTGGGTCTACAGCCTCAGTCCTGGGTCTACAGCCTCAGTCCTGGGTCTACAGCCTCAGTCCTGAGTCTACAGCCTCAGTCCTGGGTCTACAGCCTCAGTCCTGGGTCTACAGCCTCAGTCCTGGGTCTACAGCCTCAGTCCTGGGTCTACAGCCTCAGTCCTGGGTCTACAGCCTCAGTCCTGGGTCAACAGTCTCGGTCCTGGGTCAACAGTCTCAGTCCTGGGTCTACAGCCTCAGTCCTGGGTCTACAGCCTCAGTCCTGGGTCTACAGCCTCAGTCCTGGGTCTACAGCCTCAGTCCTGGGTCTACAGCCTCAGTCCTGGGTCTACAGCCTCAGTCCTGGGTCTACAGCCTCAGTCCTGGGTCTACAGCCTCAGTCCTGGGTCTACAGCCTCAGTCCTGGGTCTACAGCCTCAGTCCTGGGTCTACAGCCTCAGTCCTGGTCTACAGCCTCAGTCCTGGGTCTACAGCCTCAGTCCTGGGTCTACAGCCTCAGTCCTGGGTCTACAGCCTCAGTCCAGGGTCTACAGCCTCAGTCCTGGGTCTACAGCCTCAGTCCTGGTCTACAGCCTCAGTCCTGGGTCTACAGCCTCAGTCCTGGGTCTACAGCCTCAGTCCTGGGTCTACAGCCTCAGTCCTGGTCTACAGCCTCAGTCCTGGGTCTACAGCCTCAGTCCTGGGTCTACAGCCTCAGTCCTGGGTCTACA